ACGAAAAGGAATGCTAAGATCTTCTTTGTTTATATATATGTAACCGTATAGAGGTCAGTGTTCATGGGAAAATTCCCTATTTAATTATGTATGCAAAAGACCGTCGGCTGCGTAGCATACATAATTAATAGGGGTTTTCCCCTAGTAAAACATTAACCCCGTTGAGATCAAGTACATAAAAGCGAATTGAGATTTCTGTACTCTACTTTTCACAGTTTTTGTGACAACTGCTAGAATGCCTAATCTGGTCAATACTTACAAGACTTCATGAAAACAAACCTAGAAAAATTTAAAATACAATAGAATGTAGAAAAATCATGCAAGAATATGGTAAAATGAAAATCAAAACAACAAATATACAAAAAGTGATTACAGACAAATAAGTTTTCGTAGAGGAATATAACATTCGMACCTTATTAAAAATGCGAAGGAATACGTTCGGTCTGTGTGAACTTCGTTTGTAGTCGATCAGAAGCAGCATTGATCCCGATCAAAAGCTCACGACGCTATAAAGCTTCTCTTGAGCTCTCCTCTCCCACCGTTATAATTTAGGGATTAAAGACACAAAATTGCGTTATTTTCTAATGATTTTAAAACTCGTACTATTTTTTCAACATGTAAATGTCCGAAGTGCTTGCTTAGGGTCTAAAAAATAAAATTATTACACAGACCAAGTTTAGTAAAATTGTCTTCCTCTAACGATGATTTCATACAACATTGAGATGGTCAAATTACATACAAGGCCTGTTGTAGGTTTTTTAGCCACATGAAATCATCAATCGATAGACCATAGTACTTCCTGTTTACTTCTTTGTTTCAGCAGTGAATGACTTCGCAGCTGTAAAAAATCGCCCCACCATGACATGGAATACAGAATAAGACAATATTTTGCCTCCAAATCCAGAATTCAAATTATTGACTTCAAATGTTCCGAAAAAAGCTATAAAGATGGCATGCATTTTGAATCCAATATGATGGAATCCAGAATCATTGCAAAAGTTTTCATGGAATTCGGATTATAGGAACGCTACTGATTCCGTGTCATGGGYCGGAGCAAAAAGAATTACATATAAGGGATAAGGGGAAGTTTCCAAGTTTGTTAAGCAGCCTTATCGATTTGTTACTRATAAAGACTGTATATGGCAGTGCACTTAACACAGCATTCCTCGTCTCTAAAGTCAGAAAAATATATTCTTACTCTGCAGTCCAAAGCGACAACAAAACCGCATTGTCATCTCAAAGATGAGAACTGGGCAGATGAACGAGTCAAAAAAATGTTACCGACTGTGGAGAACAGTTTAGCTTGTGAATTTAAAGCTAATGTGTTGACTAAACCGATATCATTTGTTAAAGGTGAAACGGCAAACCAATGGCGAGCAAGGAATTGGACGAACAGAAAGAAGAATCCTGCTGTATTCATTTTCCGGAAGAAATGTTGATGGAAAGTCTTCTTTTACAATGCAAAGCTTTTAACAGATTACAGAAATATGAGAAAGCTATCAACAGTGGGGTTGAATGCATTGAGAAAGCTGTAAAGCTAAAAAACGCTTATGTTGAGATCGAAGCTGCACTGGAATTGTGGACAGCATTCAGATTACTTCATAGGGATGATAGCGCTGAAAAACGTTTCAAAGAAAAATGCGTTACATTCGTCAAACAATCTGGAAATCCTGAGTTAAAGCAAGGCGGATGCCAAATTTCTGAAGACGACGACGATGTAAATGTTGAAATGAAGGTTCATTTTACAATAATTTTAAATGCCRTTAATAATGGAAGCCATCTGGAGCAGTCTGCATGGCACGGCAAAAAATGCATTGAGATTGCACAAGAGATAGGCAACAAGTCAGTAGAGATGCATGCGTATTTGCTATTAGCAAAAGCTTGTTATGAATYGCATCTTTACGAACTAGCTATTATGAACAGCAAAAAATGTGTAGAGAAGCAGGAAACCCTGGGGAACCCAGAAATAGTCATAGAGGCRTACTTAATACTTGAAAGTGCCTACTTCAACTTGTCAGAATATGATTCAGCAATCAATTTTGGTTCCAAATGCTTTGAGTTGGCGCAATCAATGAATTGCAGCATCGCTATCCAATCTTGTGTACTATTAGTTAAAATGTACTACTTAATTGAAGCAGAGGAAGAGTTCTTTCAATGTACTAAGCAATTGAGCAACGTGGCAAGTATGATAGACGACCAAGAAATCCAGAAATATATATACTTCATGGTTGAAATTAGTTGTTGCTACATGTTTAATAAACTTGGTCAGTATGAAAAAGCCATTTCACACAACCGAAAAGCTTGTGACCTGGTTGAAGGAACAGAAGCTATCAACGACCCAGCTTTACTTACAGAAGCGTATATGAACATGTTTAGACTGCATATGTTAATGAACCAAACTGAAGAAGGTGAATCATTTTTAGTAATAGCTGCAAGAAGTTTTGAAGAAATACTAGATGGTGAGAAAAGAAAGGAAGCCTTGAAATATATTGCTTTTATGTTATCGGCCATCAAGATTCAGCTATTCTTGAAAGGCAAGAAAACAAGCAGATTTACAGATTTCTGGCTCTTATTGCAATTATTTGCACCTAAAAATCATCCAGCAAAACTTTACTGCATTCAACCACCACCAGACATAATCTGTTTTAATGTCATCTATCCCAGGGAAAAACTGTTTAACTTGCTTTCCTTTTATCACGCAAAGAATCTGTCAATTGATCTATTCAAATCGATTGTCCAGGCAGGTGTGCCATTTTTCATGAAAATGTACGAGTCTGAAACAATCGACATCATTCATGCTTTGGTCAACTGTGGATCAGTGGTCAAAGGAAGAGAAATTGCACTTAGATACGCTMAAGTGCTTCATAAAGACGACTATCACTTGCTTATGAATGCCGTGTTGTGTAACGAACTCGCCTATCAAAAGGCAATCAGAGAATTTCGAAAGCACAAATCAATAGATCAAGACGTAAACGATTTCTTCAAGGATTTCTGCGAGTTCAACAAAGGCGAGATAAATGGTCAAATGTTCACTGTAAAAGGGATGCTTTCTTCCATGACCATGAGAAGTGAATTAGCAGAAGAAAACCTCAAAAACGCAGTGATGTGCTTTGAAAATGTCCTGGGGAGCTTTCGCGAGGAGAAGAATCAAATATCTCTACAGGAAGGTTATATTCAAGCATACAAGCTCCTATCAAAAGTTGAAGTTGAAATGGGCCACACAAAAAATGCTCTTTTGACAACGGATCTCTGTCGATCAAAGGCACTGAATTATCAGCTAACCAAAAGACTGAAAAGTGCAGGCCATGCCCCAATAAGCCAAGAGGTTACCTTGGAGCAAATAGCATCATTTGTTGAGGTTGAGGACTGTGCTATCATATTATACTCTTGGTTTTTCAACAATTTATACATATTTTGCGTGAGGAATGTCAAAGGAGACAACGGAGAAGATATGATCCATGTTGACTGTCATGTGGAAAGAATCGATGAAGAACGCAGGAAATACTTAGGTTTGCAACCTACAACCACACAAAGTGTCCTGACAAACATGACCAATTGTGAGGAAGAACAGCAATCTGGGGAGCTCGGTAGACACTTTGAATTTTGCTGTGAAAAAGAAAGAGGCCRGCCCTCAGAAAATGATGATGTCCAAGCTCAGAGTTTCGTTTCAGGTCAGCAAAATCCTACTGAGGATTTAACACTTTTAAAAAAGCTTCACAAAGCACTACTTTCTCCTTTCTTTAGCAAAATAAATGCAAACAACATAATAATTGTCCCCGAAGGCCAACTGTATTCAGTCCCTTTTGTAGCTCTTCAAGACCCAACAACGGAATGCTACCCGTCAGAACACAAAAGAGTTAGATATTCTCCTTCTATAAGCAGCTTGATTATTCATAAGAGGGTGCCTGGCGAATACTACGCTCGATCAGGATCCCTGATCATCGGAAATCCAAGTGTCGATCAGATTGAGGGTATTAACCYCTTACCGGGGTCAGAAATGGAAGCAATAGAAATTACCAAGATTATTGGCGGAGTCACACCAATTATTGGACCCAGAGCAACCAAAGCATTTGTTTTGGAAAGGCTTTTTGAAGTGTGCATCATTCATTTCGCATGTCATATCAGCCTCAATCCTTCTGCCATTATTCTTTCACCTCAAGGATCTCTTAAACCTGGCGATGACTCTCATCTTCTCAAACCAGATGATGTAATTCAAAAAGATGTCCATGCTCGGCTAGTGGTCTTAAGTGGGTGCGACAGCGGCCGAGGTAAGATCTGTGCTGAAGGGGTTGTTGGAATTGCGCGCGCATTCTTGGCTGCAGGAGCTGCAACGGTGTTGGTGTCCCTGTGGAGGGTTCCTGACCAGAGCACGTGTGAATTCATGACGACCTTTTACACGTACCTCTTGGATTGGAAAGTACGGAGAAGTGCAAGCGAGAGCCTGCATCTCACAATCAATGACATGAGAAGAAAGTACCCAGACGAACCAATAAAATGGAGCGGTTTCTATCTCATGGGYGACGATGTCATCATCGACCGTGAGAGCCTCTCTGTTCTTCAAGCAGAAGCAGACTCAACTGCGTCTTGCAGACGTGAACCGTGTGAAACCGACGAATAAACTGGTTCTATCGCCATATTCAATATAACAGACAGCAGATTTCAAGAATACATATCATGGACTTTCAATTGGTAGTCAACTGGAACTCGCGGTCTAAATTGTAATATATTCGTTTTCAACATAAATGCAAGAGTTTATGTATATTTTAGTGCAAATAAAAATGTGCATGATGGACTACGTTTAAACTATTTATGATTCCGGTTACAGCCTTTTCKTCTTTCACACTAAGCTAACGTAGCTTCTTGTGTGCTAGAATTCTCCAKCTTACAATCCGTTGTGGCACTTTCTTGCTTGGTCTAAGAAAACGAAATATTAGACCCCAGTCTTGACCTCACGTTTTTATTGCTTAATAGGAACTAACTTATTTACAAGTAAAGTGTGAACGGACGGAGAACGATGCAAAAAGGAAACACGATTCAGTCATGTGGTTACGCTATGGGCGGACTTTACATTTGTTTGAAATTTCTAAAAAATTATGTTGACACGCAAATGCTTCGCACAACGCGCACCAGAATTTTCTGAAASAAAAGGAATACCTTTCAGAAGACCCAAAAATGACAAATGAAAGTGTTTTTATTTGTGATGTTCAATTTTTTACTAGTTGCTTTAACAATAGCACGAGAACAGAATTTACATTACGTGTTTGGGAATTATGCTCTCGGAGCTTACCAATGGCTAGGTCGATATGCACAGTTTACACGATGAGARGAGTTCCTTTAGAATTTGAGTTGTTAAATAAATAAAAAATAACTTTGGACACTATTCTTATATTAAGGCCACAATATAGTCTTCTCCAAACTTTCCTTATTTTAGACCTGTTATTTAATCGTTATTGGACTTACTTCCAATGCCTTATGTCTGTGTTGGGAGGGRAACCCTTCTACGTGTAAACCGAGCTTAATAAAGTTTCGTTCAGGCTACTGTAAATGTGGTATATACCAAGAACAAGGTCTGGTCAGGGATGAAGTATGGTGCGCACARGTTAAAGCACCGCATCGTATCTGATGTTGCGTACACAGGCACTAAGCGAAAACGCTGTGTAAAAGGAAAGACCCAGTTATCTATGTATAAAGATAAAAGATTATAGTGTACTACTGAAGTCAGAACTCAACCATTTTTTGTCAACGTGCTTTACTTATTTCATCAAGCTGATATGCCACTGGTCCATCATAAGCCTCGACCGCATGTACAGGAGGAGGCCTACTCTGAAAAGCCGCTTGAACCGACGGTGCTGGAGAAGAACCAACCTTCCTTGATTTCAGGATTGCAACGCTGATGRCCTTCAATATGGCAGCCACGCAAAGTAGTACAAATACACCTCCTAACACACCAAGACCAATGAGAACACCTTGAACTTTGTCATCAAATCCTACAAGCATATTATACTAATTTTGTATCTGCTTCCATTGGTTGTTGTTGTTGTTGTTTTTTGACCATATGTATACAGTCACTATCCCATTAAAGTTGTGCAGTGTAAAGAAATAAAGACAACAGCAAAGCCAATTGCATAAAACGGTTTTTTTAATTCTAAACGCTAGATATATATATGACTTTGTTGTTGTCTTTACAAGTCTTTACAACAGAACAACGTTAATAGTATTTACTTTATATCAAAATGAAAAGACTATCTTTATTATTACACTACATCCTACAAAGATCAGAATATAGAATGGTGTTGTTTTGCGTTGCGTTGTATTGTGTTGTGTTGTTGTAGGGTTTTTTTTCATTATTTTGCCACATCCCACTAGGATCAGAATATCGAATGGTTTATCAATTTCCTTCCTTCCATCCATTCATTCATTCATTCATTTTTCAATCCATCCAAGTCTATCRTTGCAATCAATCTTTGTTTGCTGTGTTTATACGTATGAGTAAAATTTACCGCTTCCGCCTGAAGATATCTTTTCTCCAGAAATTGGACCAGTCGATAAATCGTATGCGCCACTCGTGTCATCATAGTCATGAGCATCTCGACGTCGTCTTGATCTCGCACAGCCACGCGAGCATCTTGAGTTGGTAGAGTTGCGATGACAAACCATCAGCTCACAATGAAGATACACCAGTCGGCTACTGGCATGTATGAAACGGAACGACTTGATGGAAAAACGCTGAATGGAACTATTTGGATTRTATTTGTAGGCTATTGTCTTGTCTAGAGGGCAGCTGGATTAAATGAAGGTATTTTATAAGGTTACAAAAACACAAACATAATATTCTAAAAATTAAGAGGTAAATACACATCCTCGGCTGTAAACTTGTTTGTCGACATTTATATAAATAATTCATAGCCAATTTCAGAAGGGGAAATTGAAATGAATACAATTTGAAAAAAATGGGATGTTCTCGTTAAAAGGTATGCAGTCAGTAAATTTAAAGGTGTGTTAATCAATTGCAAAGGTTGACACGCGGTCCCCTAGAAATTTTGGGTACAAACTGATGTGAGAATGTATTCATTCGTGATGGTGATTGAAGCCTTTCATCGTGAATATGAATCAAACTTTTMTTTTTCTGYATKATSCGTGAACAGAACCAATTCGAGAACGTSGACTTCTGCGTGAAAACTAGATCAGTGCGTACTTAGCAAAATTCGTAAAAATTGCATAATGATTTTACGCGAAACGCGATGAAATATACGTCGACTTTTGTGCGAATACAAATTATTGTCATCAATTGCCAACATCKCGTTATGATCACTTACCCGTTTTTCAAAAACTTGTAACTTGGATATGTATTTGGGTCAGCTGAGGTAGTTGCACGACAATTCTCAGCAAATACCACCAGATCTCCAATCGTATTTACGACTTTAAACTGAATCCAAAGAGGTTGGTTAAGGCCCACAGACACAGGATACTCATATGGTAMGTACATGCGCTTGTATTCATCCGACTTGTACATATGCATGGAGAAGGTGAAGTTGCCAAAATTTCCTGGATAAGAGAAACAGTTCGTGCATATGTTTAAATAATATATCCATCAATTAAAACAAGCTAGACGTGGCTACGATTGAAAGATGTAAAGCGTATGTATCAACGGTTATGTTAGTAAAAGTGCCAGTACAAGCTTTGTTTTCATACTTTCAGTGATAGTAGTCGATTGTTTAGGGTTTGGCTTCGTTGTCGTAATACCAAATASGGCATGGACATGGTTTTCAGCTTGGTTGTATGTATTCAATGATATTTCCTCACCTTCAGAAACTTGTATAGTCTCCTTTGAAGCATCAAAGTTGGTGCTAACGAGTTGTCGTCTGGAATATTTGCAGTAAAATGATAGAAGGGTGCTGCTATCTCGTATTATAGCGTATGACTGGTTGTCATGGCTATGGTCATTTATCACCTGCAACAGAAAGAAACTTCTTCTAGCCTCACTACTCAAACGGTGTCGGTGAATTTACCATCTCAAGTGACATACGAAAGTCCKCGAGCGTTTGTTTGKAAATTGAGGGTCAGTGCATTTCAAACTATTTCTGGCATTTGAGGTCATTATGGATTGTWAATCTGATTATATCTTAAAATTGTCATGCCCAAGGAACTTCAACAAAAATGTTGTCAATTCAATTTAAAAAACGCACAACGAAAACTTAACAACAAAAACAAATAAACAAACAAAATGAGCGTTCTAGTATCCATTAAATGATTRTCCAAAACGCGTATTTCCATTGTTCAAGTTTCTWCAAACGATTTTTATTAACAACARTGAAAATCGTTTTTGAAGGCAACTGCGATGATTCGGGCGAATATATGAACACTGGGCATTATACGATTCGCAATTGCTGTTGTCACAAGCTGTCACTCAAATCCAATTTAGCTTCGTGTTAAGATTTTGTTACCTTATTTTCAAACACCAACATATCMCTTTGCTCTGTACAGTTCGTACCGCAGCCACYGAGAGTTGTACGCAGACGAATAATAGTACCATAAGAAGTTAAATTCGCTCTGCATTCTGGGTCAYTCAGATGGAGATTRCGCCARTCAACGTTTGAAAAGTAATACGTTTTTAGCTCGACCTCCATATAGCTGGTATCACAGGTGACTTCAACCTTAAGATCTAAAAACAACCACAAGGACCYATTAGAAAGCATACTGCACTAAAGAGAATAGGCGATTTTGTATTTAGACCTATACTTKCGAAAACGTTTTCATAGAAAATAGGACATTTGTATTTAGTAAAAAGAAAGAAATAAAAAGAGACAAAAGAAGATCACTGAGGCTAAACGCTCTYTTTTGTCTTGTTTTAATCTATTCCTTTTTACTAAATTCAAATGTTCTATTTTCTATGACAACGTTTCTGCAAGTAGGTGTATATCATTCAGAGTTCGAAATCGAGTAGTTCTTGGAAGCGTAACGGGTCGGGGGGGGGAGGGGTTAAATAATAGTGTGGTATTTTTGTTTTTATTATTATGTGCTCCTTAGAAAATGTGAAAACGAAGCTTGAAATTTCAAAGTAATATTTTCAGAGATTCATTGTATAAACTATGTTCTCGAAGACATTCAAAGTACTAATTCACATTTCAGAGGCTCAAACATTCAAATTCCTGCCTCCTTTCTTCATCAAGACTTAGGTCAGGTCGCAGCGCCAAAGAACACTGCTGGTAATTGGTGGGCTCAACACATCGTGACTCTAAAGAACGAGGCATAAACAATAGAGCCTATTGTTCTACCCAGCCAATCACAATGAATTTTATTTAGAGCTGCGAGACCTCTGCAAGACTTCGGTGGTCGTCAGTTCCCCCGAACAAAACATGCTCCGCGGTCTCTGACCAATGACAAGAACAGACTAGATAGACTGAAATTAGTACGGTATCATTTTCCGTACTGCGCGAATTGACCAACACTGAATACATTTTTCCCAATRTTCTTCAGTATTTACTAAAAATATACCTTGGGGTGTTTGAGTTGTCCAATGAGAGGAGTTRGGCCATGGATACTGCGTAGTTCCTGCGCGACGAAACACAAAYGCACACAAACAATTATTTAAAGAACCCAATTAATGAAGAAGAAATATGTGTTTTGRCGTTGATACTASGTTTCRACGCCATTCTGGTGTCATGAGGACATTGAYYTTTGGAGACCACTTAYCACAAATATTATTGTGAATAATAATTGATTGTCWTTCATTTGTTGGCGATTGGATTGACCGTTTAATTAGTGCATTAGTGTATATACTCCTCTACATTCACCATTACGACTCATTATCAAGAATCTACAATCTTCGATAAAATCCGTGCATCTTGCTGACTCTTCAAATATCTTTCTATCATCAAGATCAAGATCATAACCGAAAAACGTACGAAATTGTACGAAAAAGTCATGGCAAAGCCTACTAAGAAGATAGCTAAGCTGCTGAGTAACTCCGATGTCGACAAACATATCGTAGTTTATCTTCACAAAAGCTATCCTTCTTCCAAAAGTTGGTTCTTTGTCGAGGCCTTCAGGTTCTCACTACCGCGTAATATTCCTGATATTGAAATTAAATCAAGCTTCGAAAAAGTTATATGGGAGACTTTGCTACTACTTATCTATGCTCCATTGCCGTTAACTACATAGAATGCAAATGCACAAAACCACCTAAACCATTACAACAAGCCATCAAACAACTCAAGAAACGTAACGATAATGTTAGGATGTTAGAGCGGAAACTCTAAAACCATGGAAAACTTTAGCCAGATAGCCATGGCTTTTTTTAATTAGATAGTGCTGTATTACACTGAGTTATGTCGTGAAATCGTGGTTTACTATTATCCAATCCACACTATATTGCGCTATTTGGTCAGTATTTCTTCACACTTTTAGTGTCTGTGCTCAAGACAACAGCACAGTACCACAGCAACTTCAATTATGCCGGAAACTGTACAAATACCTGTACTTGGATTTGGCCAAGTCCACGGAAACTGCGTAGTTCTTGCTCCAGCTATAAATGAGCGAAGACGTTTTTAAAATTAAAATTAAAATTAAAATTGTTAGAGTGAAGAAACGTTAGCTATCATAAATGAGTTCCTATTAGTTGGGATGATATCCAAAACAAGCATTGAATTGGATTGTGTTTAATATTTTTTATGTGGATTTACAACACTTTTCATTGGTTATGATTTCTATTAGGGAAAAAAAAGGGAAAGGGAAAAAAAGAAAAGCGAAAAAAGGAAAAGGGAAAAGGTAAAGGTGTTGGGTGATAATCGTCCTTCATGGCAGCAAGGGTGCTGAATTGCGAAAGACGCAGCTCGACGCGCTATCAAATCGAAGTGCTATATTACAGACACATTTTTACATACACTTACACATAGGCATGCTGCCGGCTGGGCGCTTCCTTTACATAGCAACGAACGACTGAACGCGGAGCATAGCAGATATAAATGGTTCGTTTTTACTGAGGGAGAAAAACCCGGAAAGACCCGGAAAAACCCTCGACGCAAGGATTCGAACAGGGTCCACAGAGGTGACAGGCCAGCGCTCTCACCGCTCGGCCACCCATGCGTCCCTTGTGTTTTGCCTTATGGATATTAATGAGTTTTATAAGTATGATAAACGTACTCCTAAATAATATTTAAAAATTGCGCAAATTTTAATTTGAAACAAATTGCGCAYGGKTTTGAGTTGTATGTCAGTGGGTTCACTGCRAAGTTTTGAACATCTTGTGACGTCAWGAGTGTGTCAGTAAGGACATACAACAAAAATCAGTGTGCAATTTGTCCATGGATTCTGGGTAGTGTGGACTGCTACAAAACGAAATTGAAGAAGTCCTTTCTCATATGAAGCTTAGACAGGAAGTCGGATAAATTAAAAATTCATCTGAACATGTATCAATGATACCTGTTGTTGKAAGCTGCGTAGTTGATACTGCAATACAAATAAACAAGGATTCTGATTTAAAACTCTGGCGTCATTCACTGTTACCACGATAGATCTACTGTATTCACTGAGAAAAACTCCGATCCTGGTCAAGTTTAAATAGTTACGAAATGCCTTGAYTATTCAAGTGAAAATCTGTTATTTTAAGCAGCGTTTGTTCGCAGGTGCAGATCTCCTATCCTTCAGCATGCAWTGTTTTCAGTAAGTATGTCAAAACGTCATTCCAAACAACTTAGCAACGAATTGTGATAAATGAAAAAAAATGTAAACTGCATCATCAGAAGCTGACATCAGCAATTGAATTATATGCTCCAAAGACGCGAGTGATCAAGTTTGGTGTTTGAGGCAAGTGAAACGGCTGTGACAAATTATATAAGCACTTTGACCTTAAAAAGTTAAGAAAACCTCTAATTAATATTGCAAGAATACTTACCATTGTTGTTATATTTCAATGAAAAGCCACGACGTCTGGAAAATCTTGAAATGAAAGTAATGTACATCTGACTTGACGAGCTGTTTACTTTCATGTTGTTAGGATGATAGTAGTAGCCACTGAAATGACCAACTACCGGCGATCTAGTTGAGTTACCGTCATACACCCGGACGAAATCACCCCATCTCTGAGTATCAAAGGATTCAAAGGTAATCGAGATAATTCCTGTATTTGCTGTTAGCAGCCAATAACAGTTTTGATAGTAATAATAGTAGTTAGGGTAGTTAGGTGAGGTGATGCGACCGGTGACATTGCTTGTTCCATCACAATTGGTTTGGACTGTAATACCTGTGGAAATCGATAAAGAATTCAATGCTTTGTGGGCTATGAAAATGCACGATAAGCCAAACGCAACCTTAAACTTTATATATTAACATACATAACCGACTTAACATATCTTCACTTGACATACACATACATACGTCGAAGGATTAACGTCCGAAACGTCAGTAAGTTTTTTCCTCATACGTTTTTACGGTGTTAAATTTATCTTTTTACACAACTGTTTCTTTAGAAACACCGACGCAGCTCACACTAGTTTACTGCTAGTTCCCACCATTATACATATGCATATCTTGACTTGACAACATAACATATCTTGACTTGACATACATAACATATCTTCACTTGACATGTATAACATATCTTCACTTGACATGCATAACATATCTTGACTTGACATGCATAACATATCTTCACTTAACATACATAACACATCTTGACTTGACAACATAACATATCTTGACTTGACATACATAACATATCTTGACTTGACATACATAACATATCTTGACTTGACATACAT